TATCACTTGTTTAGGACGAGATTTTACTTTGATTTTGAAGTTCTAATTAGACGTGCCATCATGAGAAACGATCAAAACTAATAATAATGAATGTGGAAACTTCGGATTTAAATCCAAGTGTTATGTGTACTTCAAAACGTAAACAGGTGAGCCATCGTTGCATGTGTAGACATCAAAATCATCCTAGCAAGCCATTTTTCTTAAAACTTGATTTCTATTGGTTACTGCTCACCCAATAGAATTTCGGGGCAAATGTAGCTCAGATTCAAGTTCTCTGCCCCAGAAAACCTTTGTTCAAGTTTGATAAAACCGCGAAGGATCGCTTCTCTGATTGGAAGATGGGGTTTTAATTTTCGATCGATCACAGCGAGGACAAACACAGAAGCAATTTCCGTTCAAGTATCTTTGCAATACGTGACTTCGCCTTCTTGTTTCTTAATGTTTTATATACCATTTTGTAGCTCGTGAAATTCTCTATCGGATGATGTATACTAGCGTGGGGTTTTGTTTGATTATGAGAGAAAAGTTCTTTTACGAAAACCGAGATAGGTCAATAATCGCATAGAAAAGCATAGGGAAAAATCACTTTTTTTGCGATAACTCAGCAATGGCTCGACGAATCATTCTCGTCTTCGAACGCGACCGAAACATTGTTGAGACGATACTGTGTAGAAAATTTCATCAAGATCGCCCTCTCCTTTCAAAAGTTATCGTGTAAACGACCGGGCGCGCTGACCGATTCTAGAGTGTACTCACTTTTTGAGTACACAAAATCCCTTTTAATACATAACCTGTGTGAGTCTAGACGCTTTTCAGAAAAAGAAACATTGTATTGTTATCTGTACAGTGACAGTGCTACCGTGTTGAGTTACTATTATGATTGGTTTGCCATATTTTTGATTTTCAATATCCTTAAGTAGTAGGATTTTAAATATTTGAGCTATCTACGGATCCTTTAAGAGCAGATTGTGTGGATGTGGGTGTGAATTTAAGTCTAAAGTTCACAGACACACACCCACACTCACACCCTTTTACTGGTACTAATGCATACCTATTAATAATGGTCACGTCATATTTATTATTTCTGCCCGGATCAGAATTGGTTTTCTTTGTCTTCTCAGATCACTTTTTGTATCGATTTGCATATTTTATTAATACAACCCACAGAGACATAGTTCACTGAAGAAAAACAGAAAATAGTTAACAAACAAATCACAATTTCTTTTTTTCGATTTCAATGCTTTTCGTACAGTTCGCGATTGTAGAATGAGTTGATAGGGGCTTCTGTTCACGGATCACAAGCGCTTTTTTGTAGAATTAAAGTGCTCTCGTGTATAGTCTCTTCTTTCTGGACACCCAGGCAATATTCTTATAACAAGTGACAAATCGGGATGATTCACATGCAGAGATTTTTTTGAGATTTCACGGTCCTTCTCATAACACTCGAGTGCTTTACAGTGTTCACCCATGTTCACTATACCGCTGCGATATTGTTGTATGCAATGGGCAAATCGGAGTGACACTCAGGCAGATATTTTCGTCGAATTTCAAGCGCTTTCTAGTAAAAATGGACAGCGTTTGAGTATTCACTCATGCCATCATACACCAAGCCGATGTTGTTGAAGGAAGTGACCAAATCTGAATGACACTCAGATAGAGATTTTTGTCGGATTCCAAGTGATTTCTCCAAAAATTCAAGTGCTTTTGAATACTTGACCATATTTTTGTACACTCCAGCAATGCTGTTCTATGAAGTGGCCAAGTTGAGGTGATTCGGCGGCAGTGATTTTTCGAAAAAGGCGTGGGTGTGAGTGTGGGGTGTGGATAAAGAGAACACAACACCTACATTCATCCACACCCATACCCACACCCACACCCACACAAACACTCACACCCACCCCACCTGAAAAATTGTCATTTTTTTAGGGTAGATAGAACTTTTTGAGCACTGCAAAAAGATATAATAATATATGGGAAAATATGCTGCTCTGAAAATTTTTGAAGGATGGTACGCTCAATGTTACCTGACTTTGAAGATAGAGTCAAGGATCTATGAGCGCAGAATCTTCAAAATGGACAATAGAATCGCTGTTTACTTGCACAAGTGACTGTTGTCGGACAACAGCTACAGAAAGTTAAGAAGACTAGGATCAAAATTTAATGATCTTCAAAGATGTCGAATAGATAAGCCAGTAGAGATAAGTAGATGAAATGTCATAGACTGTACCACATTGACTTTGTTCATTTTCAAAGGCTTTTTTGCGTTGTGTGATGTGACTTTCATACTATTGTTGGATACATTGGGTCAAACACTTTGCTATCAATTTACTGCTCTTAGCTTTAGCTATAGTTTTTATTCCAAGGTTATTCACGGCTATTGCTCATCAATGCAGCATCAAAAAAGCATTTACTTTCATTTCGTACTTATTTTGAAAAGTAAATAACAAAATTATTCGTCCAGTTTCAACTACTGTTTATGAGTTTATTCACGAATGACCTTAAGAAGAAGATTATCGAGGAAAACAAGATCTACAACTTGGCCGGACAACGGTTCATCAAATTTGATGAACTGTCCGCGTGTGTATGTGATCTTACCATCTCTTTTGTTTAAAGAACACCCACACCCCTCAAGATTACTTAGTGATTCACTAGAATCTCGAAATAAATTTAGAACGAGCTTTGATACAAGTACAATGAAAATTTACGAATAGGAATGGTTGAAAATTAAAAGAAACTATTGTAAATTTGCTGCGATTCACTGGAGTACTTTTTTCATGCACGATGTGATAGATTAACTTCAATCTACAGTGCTGTTTTGTAAGAACCTTTATTTTGAAACCATTTATTGTTTTTTGTGTCGTGAATATCAAATAACAGACTATTTTATGGGACTTAAAAAGAATGAAGGATTAAATGATTTAAACAATATTATGATTTTGGTTTCACTTGTCCTATCAAATACATCGCTCTCAAAACTGTGAAGGAAAACAAGAAAAATGATATCTTGTGCGTCAAATCAGGATATGATTTCTGTTGGATTTACATCATATTTATTTTTTCATCTCGATATCGATAAATATTCTTCAAAACAACAGTAATTCCATTTGTTATGTGAATTGTACAAATGGGTGCTGGAGATAGTGTAATTAATAGTGGTCTTACTATTACATTAGCAGATCGACCGACGGATAATGCTTTCTATTGGACGGGCGAACGCGTTGAAGGCATACTTGAGTTTGCGAATAATCATCATCATTCGAATTTAAAACTAAAAGGAGCTTACATCGAGTTGATCGGTGAAATTGCTTATACAACAGAGCAAACAACAACATGCATTAATGGCATTCAGACGACAACAACTATGAATAGCAACATTTTTCAGTCAATACATACTACCAGTTGCTTGGAACCACTCGCTATTCCAAATCATACCGATTTCCCAGTCACGACTACTACTGTTCAAACGCATGAATTGCCGTTTTTTAATCAACGACAAAATTTCT